TTGTTATGTTCTAATTATTTTTTGGTTTAATTTCAAGTAAAGCCGCGGTATTCGATATGTTATATATATGGTTATACAAGAGACCTTTTTAATTTTCTATCACAAGTAAGTAAAACCTTTTAAACAACCAGACTTAAATCAGAAATAAATAGTATTTCCAACAATTTATTTTTAAGTTGTCTTATAAATTTGACTTGTCTTTTAAATGATTAATTACGCCATACTAAATTATACCCATCATAAATTAATAATGTGATTTTCGAGTTGTAAATATTAATTTCAAATTGTAATTGATATGAACATCAAAGAACGTACCTACTCTGGCTGAACGCCCAAGATCTATGCTAGACATTGCCAATTTAAAAAAAGTATATAAAAAAAAATAAACATGCGGTTTAAATATAATTCTAAACAAATAGACGAAATGCGTACCACAGATTAAAAATAGATATTACACACGGCACCATGGCATCATAACAAAATAAATGCTATGACAGCTGTATTATGTTAAATATTAAATTATTATATACAAATACATACGTTATTTAGAAGAGAATTATATTAAAAAAAATATTAATTAATAGTTTCGTTTATGTATGTGTAATAACTATACTGATCTTATGTTTTGCATGATATTTTATGACATACTTTGTATGTATAAAGAAAGTACATTGAATTCTGAAGTACGTCATTTGACGAGAATAGATGAAATGGCAACACAGAATTTAACACAATGTATTTGTACTTGCATATCAACTAATTTTATATATTCAAAATTACTACCAATGATATCGTTTAGACATACTATAAACTGTTAATTGTATCGCGATTTTTATTTACTTCATTCAAATTACAAATACAATTTAATAACATATATATAACTTTATATATATTTTCTATATATTAATAAGCAGAAACTATATCAGTTAAAGTTTTATCACATTGAAAAAGCTGGAAGAAACCTCTATTCTTTGTAATACTGCGTTCAAAATAACCGAATCTTAAGTACATACTGTGTGGAGAAAATACTAAGGAGTTTGTCATTAGCTTACAATATAGATATGTTTCATATTTTTTGGTATATTTTTTTGATATTTACATTATATATTGGGTTTTGCTAACCAAAATATATTACATATATATGTTACCTGAATATTATCGAAAGCTATTTTTACTGACGATAACATATATAAGAAGATATAAAAAAAAAGTTTTCAATTATCTCATAGAATTTAAATAATCCAATTTATTTTATATTTATTTAAATAAACTCCAATTTTATTTTAAATAATGTTCCTGCTTGTGCTTTTCTCATAGTTTCTCAATCTATAACTCAACAGAACGTATATATATAGTAATTTCTATATATAAACTGAACAAACAAACTTAAATCCTATTTCACAGCGCGTCAAAACGTTTCTGTTATAATATATATGGCACAATAACAAGCGTAGGTCGACAGACGTGGCTAGTGACGTGATCTACTAATTATGACTGCAGACTACACTACAAACATACTATATGTATTATCTGTACCCTACAATGATGTTATATACTCCTTATTCTTCTTCTTCTACCTGGCAATTTCCAGCTATAGCCAGGGTCTGCCTTACATATGTTGTGAATAGTTTTGACTATTTGTTTTTACGACCGGCCGCCTGCCTGTCATCAACCCTCTTTTTGGGAATCAATATTAATCTATACTACTTATAATATATAATATTGTTTAAAACTGTCTAAGTATCATGTTATTCTACTAAACGTAGTCGTAAAAGGATTTGTATGTTTCTTTTATATGTAAGTTTTTCGTTTTGAGATTACTTAAAAATATTAATATATTTTATATAGTAGGTTAAAAGTTTAAGTCATAATTAGACTTCACTTAGATTTTCGTTTTAAATTTATGTCTATAATAGAGCTTAATTTAAATATTAATCAATAACTATTAATTCTGGATCAATTGAAGTTTATTTAGCAACACTTATAAATTTGTGAAAAGAAATATGTATGAAGTATATTTTTGAAAGATATCATTTAATATCGAGAAATATTGTTCTACAGTAACATACTGTTGTTAAATTTAAGTATATAACTACTCTCTAAGTGAATTGTAGGATTTTTAACAATTAGTTATCAAGTTACACTTAACTATTAATAAAATAAATATAATTATATATTTCAATACATATCAAAAATTACCTATAATTTTTTTCATTATGTTTTAGTACGAGTTCAGAGATATAAAATGTTTAAATTCAATCAAAATCATTCAAGTCCTGACATGTTCCAACTCGTCTTTGGAACAGGATATTTCTATCCGCATACAAACTAACTTCATTGACCACAATATTTTAACTTCTTACATCATACAATTAGTCATACATATATAATAATAATATATATACCTATACATTCAAATCATCCCTACTAATATTATAAATGCGAAAGTAATTCTGTCTGTTTGTTATGCTTTCACGCTTAAACCACTGAACTGATTTTAATGAAATTTGGTACAGACATAGATTTGAACTTGAGAAAGAACATAGGATAGTTTTTTATTACAGACTTTTGAAAGGTTCTCTTGGGAACGCGATATAACCGAACTCCACGCGGTCTTAAAGCTAGTTTAGATATAAAATTAATCTATTTTTATTAACTCAGGGTTGTCACTTGTAGAAATTGCATCGTATTTTTATAAGTGACAACCCTAAGTGTAAGTTGAACTAACTCTAACGAAGGTCGAATGTCCAGAGATATTTGAGTTACGCGTCGCTGGACATCCGCGCCCCGTGACGACGGGTGCGTTCGTGAACTACCATTATATATAATGAATAAATGAATAAACAAATAAAAAAAGTACATTAAGTCTTTCTGTGGATAGAAGTGAAACTTCATAATATGAAAATGTAAGTATGAAAAGGGATATAAAACAATTTTTAAGTAAACTCATATTGTTTATGAATATTACTTACAATTCACAATTAATCAATTATTTAATCTCTCGTCTCTATTTATTCTCGTATAAAGGAGCGTTGAACGTTTAACGCAACCTTGTTGGTAGTGTTAGAAGTTTCATTTCAATAAGCAGTACTGTAGAGAAGAACGATATTACTATAATAGTTGTTATTTAAATTTATTTCAAATTTGTACTCTTTAATTTCACATATAATGGTATAGATAATATTAAAATACTAAGTTTTTGGAGAATTTAGGTCTTTTTGTTTGAAATAGAAATAATATACAAACTTAAATTTATTTACGTATTTCTATATATTATTTATACCTTCATAATGAGAATGAAAGATGTAATTTATACAAACGTCATAGAAATTTACGAAAAATTTTAATCGTAACCATCTTCCACTGAAGACATAAGTAATAATTATCTATTTTTTATTCATCTTTTTCTTCTTGTTCCTCGCAATCTCCCAGCTTTAGCCAGGGTATGCTTTAAATCTAATTTTTATCCATATCTAATTAAAATTGACTCCAGGCTGCTATAACATATACCTATATATGTTTCCATATGTTCTAAAATCCGTTCGTCCATCGTCACATCAAGTAGTACTTTCCTAAACGCGTCATCGAACTCGTTTGTCGAGTATCTTATTTACGAAAATAAAGTAGGCTGTAGGTACATACCTTGCATCAAGTTATACCTTAAATATATTAAATTCTACTTCAAAATAATATGATTTTCTATAGAAGAAATAATGTTTATTGTACTATATAAAAAGTAATTTATGAAATGTTGATTTTGTTGTATAATTAGTTGAGTATGCAGTTATGATCTTCTCTCAATTTCTATCTATATATATGCTAAATTTCTTTAAAATCGGTTCGTTAATTACGTAGAAATAAAAAAGATATATAACAGCAATCAAGTTATTTAACATATAATTTTATGTTTTATACAAAAATATCGATATATTTCTAATATTTATATAATTTTTTGAATATTAAATCGGACAGACCCGTAACATTTACGGTCTCACGTGTCCGGTAGGCTCGAGTAAGTTGGGACCTTTCTTGATAAAAGCGTTACAAATCGATCGATGGCCTACCGAAGACATCAACGCGTAAAACTTTATCACGTACATATTAATGTATATATAAATCACAAATTTCTCTTTATTTTTTCATTCCAAATACATTTTTTTCATATATAATAAATAACTGTCAGTTTTAATTCAATTAAACGTCAATGTCGTTTAATTTATAATATACTTTAAATTAAGAGTTAAAATTACGTAAGTCGTGTCCTTTTATGGAGTTTTAATAAATTAAGTTGTTGTCAAAATAAATCAGATATTAGGAAATATCACTAATATTAAAGGTTCCAAAAAGTATGCAATGGTTTTAAAATGGCCTCTCATTTCGTGTGAATGAAATTATTAGTTTCTGAATAGAGTATATTTTGTAATCTATTAAGTCTTTTTTATGGTTTATAACTGTATTAATAATATTTCACAGTTTTTCTATGAAACTTACGACCATTAGTTGTTCACAGCAATGGAAATTTACTTAACAAATAAGTAACAATGCTATTAAATATTTGATAATACGTCGAGCTTTAAGTTTATGAATGACAGAAAATGAATTAACAAGCAAATATAAAAGTAATGTCTTAGTTGATATCATTAAAGTTAGCCAATTGATAAGTTTCATAGATGCGTTAGTATTGCATCAAGCTACCTCGTGGTTATCGAACAGTCGCTGGCCAACCAAGAATCCATTTAACATGTATAAGAGTCCGGTTTCAGTAACACGATGAGCGTTCATTGCATTTCATTTAGTATTTAGTATTTATTCATGTGGCCGCGCAGGTTCTGTGCGCGGCGCGGGGGGGCGGGGGAGGCAGGGCATACTTACTACGTGATTAATCCGCTCCCCCCCCTCCCGGCGTCTGATCTCCCCTCTTCCCTCTCACCCCTCTCCGCCCCCCCTCGGGTCGGTCGTACTAGCAGCGGGTTTCCTCGTCCCCGCACCACGGCCACTCACTACTCGTAGTGCCAGTCGCGCCGCGAGCCGCGTCGAGGCAGCACGTATCTCGCGTTGTTCCCGGACGTCTCTATGATATCATACATGCTAATCTCTAATACAAGAGCCGAGTGACCGCAGCGGAACGATCCCGCGTCTCGCGTGTGCCGAATGTGTGGACTACGCTTGTATTTTTCCATTACAAGGAAGCAGTACCGCGGCCTGATGCTGCGCCCGTGACCGTCTTGCGACAGTGCCACGAAACGTAAGGACCAGCTCGTTGATTCCACGCTGTTATGCCGTCTATTTGCATGGCGCATAACCAGTGGATTTTATTTTCGTCTATGGATCTGTGTGTGTGTGTAGCGTGCTTGTGTGTGTGCGGGGGCGTGTGTGTATGAGTGCGGCGGTGTGCGTGCCTCCACCGTCCGCCGAGACGGCTGTACACTACTGAATGTAGTCTACACTGTTCCCTGCTGGCCCGTTTTATTTAGGTTGTCTCTGAGACTCGCAACACTCTCGTGCCGGCGCCCGCTCGCCCTATATACGTATTCTTTACCCGCCTTACTATAACAATACGACTCGAACCTTTTAAACATTCATACAGATATAAAAACATGAAAGTTCGGTTATATATAGAGACGTGACCTGGTAGATCGGAACATACCTACTGCTAGTTGCTACCAACCTCGCTTCTCGTAATAAAACTATTTTGACATAAACATATCTAACCACAGATTAAACTCATTTTAAACAAACAATATAGATTATAGAGTCCTCCGCGGAGGTTGCATACCATGATACTATTAATAAACGGTGACAGAAGTCACTCACGAGTCACGCCTAGCCTACTACGAACAACGGATTACCAATAGTAATTAATGTTGTAAATTTAGAACAAAGAGGAAAAGTACGCGCCGACTGACATCTGACCCGCGGATAAACTGCGACCTGGACACGAGAATCCATCTTTATATATAATAACGATTCATATACATAAACGTTCTGAAACAAAACAATATAATATATTAGGGAATCGCTTTATATATTTATGGAAATTGTTTACGTTCACGTCACACGTAAACAAAAAAAAACTTACGTTACGCAACGCCTAATATCACACGACCTTCGGCTCGGCCAGAACACCTCATTTATGTAACCGTTATTGGTTAAAAGAAATTTAATATTAGATTCACATTTTTCTTAACACAAAATTCTTTATTATAAATGGAATATTCATTCACAGAAATATTCATTTTATATATTTTAATAGAATTAAAAGTATGTGTTTATAAAATGAACTTTTTAATGCACGTATGAATGTACAAAAACTATTTGAACAGTACATTCGCTGCGCCGTTCACTCATTCATTCACATTCACTAGAACAATGGATAGCGGCTGTTTAGACATAAAACTAATTTATAGTCTTTCCTATTAACATTAGCTATGTTTTTAACGTGACTCCGTTTCTTATAATGTAACATTTTTGTTCGATTACCGCGATCACACTATTTATTTAAATTTCCATTTAATTTCAATTCCCTTTTTATACATTTTTAGTATATATCGCGTTTAATACGATAGCTAATCAACAGTAGTAAGATAGGTATTAAAACATGTTTCATTACTAATTGCTTACGTTATTATGATATCCAATTATAAAATAAATGCAAACCATTAGCCTCGTAAAGATAGCGGCCAAGAAAACAAATAATTACTCATAAATAACACATAATGTCGTATAATTTAAGTTCACAAACATTTTAATTTAAAAAAAAAACGGGACGTCTCCAAAGAGTTTTTACTTTTAACGACACAAACCTTTGTAATGTCATACATTTTTGAATCTGTCTAAATCTGATTTTATTTGTTACTAACTTAATTATTATGAATAATAAAGTGATGTTCATATATTTCAACTTATTCTGATCTATAGAATACATTTATGATCTCTATTACTTACTTTTATCTTAAAATTATTAACCATTAAGCCAAACGAAATATTATAATGTTAATAAAAACTTTTTCTTAGAACCTTCTTTTCGATAGTAGATCAAATTATGCTATAACTTCTTTAACTAAATACTTTGAATATGTGATCGAAGTTCATATGTTTTATAAGATGCTTTATAAAATACTAGCTTTCCGCCCGCAGCTTCGCCCGCGTGTAGTTCGGTTATATCGCGTTTCCAAGAGAACCTTTTCAAAAGTCTGCGATAAAAACTATCCTATGTTCTTTTTCAAGGTCAACTCTACCTCTGTACCGAATTTCATTAAAATCAGTTCAGTGTTTTAGGCGTGAAAGCGCAACAGACAGACAGACAGAGTTACTTTCGCATTTATAATATTAGTAGGGATTGACAACAAAACGTTCTAACATCTCATAATTATGCTATAACTTCAACTACATACTTTTAATATGTGATCGAAGTTCATATATATGATGCTATATAAAATATACTATATATATAAATAGCGTCTGTTGCAAAGAAAACAAAGAATTTTCAACGCGTCGTATAACACACATGCAGGCCAGTTATTATCAACCAGCTACCGCCTACGCGATATCGCACTATCAAACGAATGAACCACGATAACTCGCATACCTGCAACTTAAACGATTGTTACATAAAATATTATGAGACTCAGCTGTCAATAGGCTATGAAGAATAATAAAGAATTATATACATCATCATCATTTAGGAAGTTTATGAATTAATATATGCAGTATTAAACTATGTAAATAGATTTGTGTATATAATAATTGCAACCTAAATTATATTAGGCTCTAGAGCGCTTATTAGTTAATGAGATATAATACTTTCGCGAGTATTCATTTAACTAATATTTTTCGGTTCATTACGCGGTTTATTTTTGTAAAAAACTACATACTAAATACGTTTCGGCTACTTTTCAGTACTAGTTATTTTTATAACAGAGTTATATATATACATATATAGAATTAATACAAGTGTTAGTTATTATCTTAATTAATATAACCGTATCCGTTAACAAGACAAAAGAATATGTAATAAGATCTCTGTACCATATCGAAAAGAATAATATTCTCACGGCCGAAACAACGGTATCTTATTTCAATGTGTCAACATTGAAAGTACAGACGGTGCCACTGTTTCATGTTACTGTATATTTTGCACTTTATTATTCTATCTCCCATAACTAAGTTGAGAAAACATTCCAACTACAGATATTTCGATAATAATCACCTAAAATTAGGTATAGCCTCGTAAACTATAGATTTCGTATAAGATTTTCGCGATTATTCATTTAAATGAAACTAATATTTTCGGAATGTGACTCACATCTCGTCTGTCCGTGATCACGGTTGCTGTGAAGTAACCGAAACGTCGTTAGTATGTAGTTTATAATAAAAAAAAATCACATAGTTAATCCGAAAATGTTAGTTTCATATATATTTCGTATTTTAAAATTTTCACAACTTTTTCTTCAAGCAGATTAAGATCAGATGTAGTTGAAATATGGGAAGGAAAACGTCTTCATCGATTGAAAAGATAACATTGTCATCATACGTAGAAATAAATATCTCTGCCAAGTTTATAAGAATATATGGAGTTAGTTTTTTTACCTGATAAAATGTTTTTGCAGGAAATTAGGAAGAGTACTTTATCCCGTACTGAAATTTTGTAATAAAGAAACTTAATATGTATTCTTTTTTTATACTATTTTATTTTACATCACTGAAATACCATGATTATAATAAAATCTTCTACCTGGCAATTTCTCAGCTTTATCCAGGGTCTGCTTACATGTTGTGAATAGTTTTGGCTAATTGTGTTTTACGGCCGCCTGCCTGACATCAACTTTCTTTGGGAATAAAACCATGGTCCATGATTATAATACAATAAATGTTAATAATAATGAATCTGATTTTAAACAAAGTTTTGCTAAGTAATATAGTTAATTAAATCTCAAATAATAATCTACTCTGTGTAATAAACCGAATCTTCTTTTATTATGTAATAATATGAGTATAATATAATATTGTCGGGGCTTGCTTTTCTTACATTTATAATACGATTGAGGGCACTAAAACTTTACATACACATCTATCCTACGTCGTCTTTATTTCTGTGATGCTATTTCTTTGAAGTAAACAATGGTTGAAACAAAGCCATTTATATTTTAATAATATTCATAACACATTGTTGCTAAACAATGAATTTAGGTGTTTGTTTTGTCAAGGAGCCCTACACTGCTTGTTGTGTTACCTTTGCTCTATGTTGACAAACAGTCGAAACAAATGGCCCTTATAGTATTCCTCTGACAGAAATAAACAATATATTATATGTATATTTCATAAACGTAACTTGGAAATGCGATGGAATTGCAAAATTGCACTTGTGGCATTTGACAATGGAAACGAACACAACAAATTATGAAAATGAAATTACATATATTAGATAACCAGTTACATTCACGACTCTAATCAATGGTTGTTGCATCATAACTTTCGACGCTCCATCGTAGTGGATTGCGAAATGCCACTTATGCAAGAAGGCCAGGCAGAATGGACAACAGATACTATAATGACTTCCATATCTTCTCATAAACATTTATCTATCTAGCAAGTCATCGAAGACGTATATTTCTTAAAACAATATAATTTTATCATCTATAGGGTAAATGCCACTTATAATTTCTAATTTAATGCCATTTTTCATTCGCGTGACAATTACGGGGTGTTTATAAATGTATTTCTTTTATTTGACAAGCATAAGTTTATGGGTTTATTAAAACATCATTATACGCTTTTTAAATGGGTGGCAGTAACTTAAAATTTATGTACATAAAGTAGCTGAATTTCATGGCATTTCAATTATATGATGTGACATGTGAGTGGCATTTCCTCTCGTATTGTTCCCAAGAAAATTGCAAATGTTAATATAAATGTGTTGGAGTCAACTTTGTAATACATTTAGCATTTCTGATAATAATATTTGAGATAAGCCGATATATAAATGCCAAACGGACATTTGATTAAGCATAAAAATTGTTTTTTTTGTATTTTACATGTACGTATGAGCTATCTGTGGACTGTGGTATTGTGAATCACTGCTAAGGAATGAGAAAGGTCTAAATTAATATTTTTTTTATATCTATTTCATTCTTTATCTTGTACTAGAGTAATCTTTAATGAGTTTTGTTTTTATACATGTATATTTATTTAAGTATAATTTTAATGGATAATGCTAAAATTACACAGACAATAGATTTTATATTTTAAAAGTAAAATTTATCTTAATTCTTAAGTCGATGCTCGTATCAGGTACAGAGTG